TCCATCCCATGATGAGGGGAAAAACTCTGTGATCTCCTGGAGTCAGGTTTGTGCAAAAAAAAACCCCAAAAAGTGACAAAAACCAGGCGAAACCCTTATGATAGTTGGAATTGTGACCCAAAACTGAGGGGAACTCAGTGCCATTTCTTGTTGAGGGTTTTTGGGGATTTTTTGGGGATTTTTGGGGGGATTTTTGGGGGTTTTTTTCCAATTTTTTGTGGTTTTTTTGGGGGGTTTTTGGGAATTTTTTTGGGGTTCTTTTGGGGGTTTTCTGGGGTTCTTTTGGGGTTTTTTGGGGGGGGTTTGGGGGTTGGTGGTTTTTTTTTTGAGGTTCTCTCCTCCCCACAGCTCTCCTGCCCCTGTGCTGCCACAGCTCATGGGGCAGGGGCAGCCTGGCATCAGCAGCTGGCATCAATCAGGGGTCCAGGAGGGATGGGGAGAGTCACTGGAGGTGCCAAAGCCTCCAAAGGGACACTTCAGAGCAGCTGCAGGAGGGAGGAAAATCCCAATCCAAGCTTTTCAGGAGGATCCCTGAAATCCCACAGCCGGGTCTGTTGGAATTTGTGGTTTTGATGATTCTGAGATTGTAAAAAGTTTCTGGTTTTTTTTGTTTTGTTTTGTTGCTAAAGAAGAAGCCATAATTGGTCTGTGCTGGTTTCAAGGTTGTTTATTCTGTTTATCTCTAACATGTTCTGCTGCCCTGCCGCAGCTCTGTCCTGCAGGGCAGCGTGTGGGGCTCTGCCCTCAGTGGGATGGTACAAACATTAAATACCACAAACTACCTGTGCTGGATTTACAATAACGTGCCAATATCTGTCACCTACATTGGACAGTGTGTCCCCAGCCTGAACCAACAGAAAAATGCCAACACCACAGTGAAACATGGAGGGCATGAAGAAGGAGAAAAAGGACAAGGCACACCCAATTTCCTCCTTCTTGTCCCCTTTGAACCCCTAATCTAGAAACCTAAAATTTTACTTTTGCACCCGTGCCACACTTAATTATTACTCATATCAAACACTCAGAGCTGTTAATTCACCTTGTAAGATTGAAAACTCTTTTCCATGGGCAGAGATCACAGCCAGTGTCTCTGGGGGCTCTGTCCAGGGGGGTTCCTGACCCCTGCCAGGGTCCCAGACCTGCCATGGCAGACAGAGGGGAGCTCTGGATTCCCACAAGGTCCTTGCAGGGAGACGGACCCCAAAGTGCCCAGGCCACCCCCAGACTGGCAGGGCAGCGAGGAGGAGCTGCAGGGAGCAGGATTTGGGCTCTCCTGGGCTGGCACCTGGGCACCAGCCAGGTTTGGGGGCTGCTAAAATCCACCCAGGTGTGGTTTAGAGCAGGAATTCTCTGCTTGTGGTTGTGGTAGTACATATTTCTTCCTTTCAGGATTTTTTATAGAGGTGTATAGGGGGTTTTTAGGTGTATAGGTTCAGGGTTTTTTTTATAGCAAGAAATGAAAGAGAAAACAATTTCTATTTCTGCTCCTTGGGGATTTTTTTGGTTTTGTTTATTTTTTGGGTTTTTTTGTTTGTTTGTTTGTTTTGGTTTGGTTTTTCTTGGTTTTTTAATGTGGGAATGTGTTTGCAGAATTGTTTGCCAGACAGTTGTGCGTGAAAGTTTCCTGCCAGAACGTCAACTCAGAAAACTTTAGAAAATCTTAAAAATCAAGGCGACTTGGGCATCATCCCCAGCAAAATTTGGGAGCAAATTTGGAGGAATTTGGGCACTTTTACTCTGAACCAGCCAGGAGAGGGAGACAGTGACCGCCGTGTCCCCGCGCTGCCACCAAGGAATTGTCACCACTGACCCTCGCAGGGTCCTTTGGGCACAGAGCTCGGGGCTTTCCCTTCCCAGCAGCGGAATTTTGGAATTTTCCACCCAGCAGCTATTTTGGAATTCCCTGTTCTCTGCTTTTATCTTTCTCTGTGCGGAATATATGAATGAAAAAAAAAAAAGAAAAAAAAGATCTTTTGTTCCCAGGATTTTTGGTCCATTTATTCTTTTTTTTAAATTTTTTTTTTAATTTTGGGCTTTTAAAACCAGGCAGATGATCAGGGTCAGGCAGAGTTTCTGTGTTTGCACGTCACCTGTGTCAAAAAGTGATAAAAGTCATTGTCCTGCTGCGCCTCATCACACACCAACAGCCCCAATTCCTCCCTCTGCACATCCCTAAAAAATGAAAAAGATGCTCCTGGGAGCCTCTTTTCCCATCAGATCTGTGCTTTGGGGCAGCTGGGGTGGGTTCAGCTTCCATGGTCGTGCCTTGGGGAAGGCTCGTGGCCCTTCTTGCTCCTGGCAGGTTATTATTGCATTAACAATTTTCTAAAAAGGTCTGGAAGAACATTTTGATGTCCCTCCCTTAACTCCCTTAATCCTGCCAGCAAAAAAAAAAAAAAAAATCCCCCAAAAATGCTGCTTTTAATTCTTTCATGAACACTGCAAGCAGTGAGGGAGAAAGAAAATCCCCCAGGATTTCTCTTTCCCCCCATTATTACAGGTACAGCTCCTCTTTGAAGTGACATGAAGGGGTTTTCTGCAGGGAAGCAGAGCAGTTCTGCCTCCCTCCCTCTGCACAAACCCTGGGAAAACGTTCCCAGGAATGTTTTAATGTTTTAATGTTTTAAAGGGCCCCCCCTTGGCAGGGACCTGTGGCTGCTGCTCTTTTTTCTGCGCTTTGCTGCCCTGTTTGGAGGAGCTTTAATCATGGCAAAGCTCTGGAAGGGGATGGGTATGAAATCACCTGCCTGCCCTGCTGGGAAATGAGCTTTTAGCCCAGCTGGCATCCAGAGCAAGGCACAGGAGTGGTTTTTATCCAGGACGAGGCACAGGAGAGAATCTTAAATTTAAATACTGAAATATCCACAGGATTAATTCCCGTGTATGCGTCTGGAGGAGACAAATATGAGGGATAAAATTCCCTGACAAGCTCTGCTCCCAAATGGACCTTGGGGTGATTGGGATATCAGGGGAAAGCAAGGCCTGGGCTTGCAAGGAGCTGGGAGAGCAGGGATTTGGGATTCTTCCTAAAAGGTGGAACCATTCCAAGGTTTTATTTCCCTGTGGAAGCCGTTCCTGACCCCACAGGTACCACCCTGCACGCCCAGCAGCAGAGGAAGGATGAGGATGCCTGGGCTGGGAGAGGCTGATCCCATGGGGTGGAGGCAGCTGGTGGTGCCCAGAGCAGGGCACCAAATGCAGGTGAACCCCGTGGGGAGAAATGCTGATGTCTGACTCCAGTTCAGAAGGCTGAATGATTTCTTTATTATAACTATACTATAATACATTCATATACTATTTAAAGGAGATGCTAAAACTGCAAACCTACTTTTTCTGACTACTATATCTAACTCACAACTCATGACCCTCTCTCTGTCCAGCCACAGTTGGGTTGGATTGGCCACCAGGCTCAAACAATCCTCACCACAATCCAACCCAGCAATCACCCCAGGGAAACAATTCTCCAAACACATTCCACATGGGAAAACAAGGAGCAGAAATAGAAATTGTTTTCTCTTCCTTCCCTCTGTTCTCCTCTATGAAAAAATCCTGAGATAGAGAAATGTGCTGCCACAGCACGGGTTTGTCACAGGGACAGCAGCGCTCCTGCTCAAACTTCTCTCCACTTCTCCACCTGCTGGAACTGCTAAATGTGCTTTATTTCAGAGGGATCCCGGCTCTCCCTGCCCTGGGCTGTGCTGCTCCTGCTCCCTGTGATCCCACAGCAAGGGCCACCAAGGTCCTGCTGAGGTGGGCCAGGCCAGTTCAGCTGGGATGGCATTTTGGGGCTCCCTGCTTCCCTGCTGGGACATCAGCGGGGTGCTGGATGGGAGCAGCCACTGCGGGGTCAGGGGTTTGGGGCAACAAAGGAATCCACACCATTGGAACAGCAGCTCTGCAGGGGTGGGATTGGGGCTGGGCAGACTCCAGTGGGAATGTGGCAGCTCCCAGGGCCAGGCCATGGAAGAGCCGAGGCTCCTCTTCACCCTTGCCAAGGCTGGGGCTGTGCCACAAAGCAGGGGATGTCACCTCTGTCCCCTGGAGAGGGACAGGGGATTCATTTCTGTGTTGTTTTGCACAGGGAGTTCCCAGGTTCTCTTAGGGAAGGATGCAGGAACTGTGGAGTTGTGCTGGGGGGGAGATTTGGCTTCTGAAATCACTGGGGCAGTTCTGCAAGTGGCCTTGGGGACACCTGAGTGGTGCCCAAGCCCGGGTGACATTCCAGGCTGTGTGCATCCCTCGGCAGGGAATTCCTGTGCTGGGAATGAGGCGGGAGCAGGGCTGGCAGTGATATTTGGTTTATCCTTCGTGCTGAGGAGGTTCTGTCGTGGCAGGACGTGGCGAGGTGACACGCGGGGCTGTGGGGGATGCTGTGACAGCCCCCTTGGACCTGGGACCCGCAGGGGACACGCAGGGGTCCCCCAGCCCGCGGGTCTCTGCGGGAGAGGTGCGGTAACTGCTCCGGGTCCTGGCACGGCTCCTCGTCGCCGCTGTGTCCCCCTCTGTCCCCCCTCTGTCCCCTCTGTCCCACCTCTGTCCCCTCTGTCCCCTCTGTCCCCTCTCTGTCCCCTCTCTGTCCCCTCTGTCCCCTCTGTCCCCTCTGTCCCCTCTGTCCCCTCTCTGTCCCCTCTGTCCCCTCTGTCCCCCTCTGTCCCCCTCTGTCCCCTCTGTCCCCGCTGTCCCCTCTGTCCCCTCTGTCCCCTCTCTGTCCCCTCTGTCCCCTCTGTCCCCTCTGTCCCCGCTGTCCCCGCGACCACCGAGCGACCCCGGCCCGCAGCGCCGCCCGCAGCCGCCAGAGGGCGCCACAGCCCCGCAGCGGGGGAGCCGCGCCCCCCAAAATCCTTTTCCATCTCCCCAAAACCCCTTCCACCTCCTCCCCAAAATCCTTTTCCATCTCCCCAAAATCCCCTTCCATCTCCTCCCCCAAACCCCTTCCATCTCCTCCCCAAATCCCCTTCCATCTCCCCAAAATCCCCTTCCATCTCCTCCCCAAATCTCTTCCACCTCCCTCCACTTTCCCGCTCTCCTCATTCCTCTCCCCCACCCAATTTATCTCCTCAAACCTTTCCTCCCCCCAAACCTTTCTCTTCCTTTCCCATTCCTGTTTGCCTCGGCTCAATCTCTCCCTGTCTCCCCAATTATTTCCTTTCTCCCCACACCTTTTCCCCTGATTCTTTTACCTCTCAAATCCTTTCTCCCCAAATCTTTTCCCCCTGATTCTTTTACCTCCTCCCAAATCTTTTCTCCCCGAATCTTTTAAATCTTTTCTCCCCAAATCTTTTTTTCCCTGATTCTTTTACCTCCTCCCAAATATTTTCTCCCCAAACCTTTTCCCTTTGATTCTTTTACCTCCCCCCAAATCCTTTCTCCCCAAACCTTTTCCCCTGATTCTTTTACCTCTCAAATCTTTTCTCCCCAAATCTTTTTTCCCTGATTCTTTTACCTCTCAAATCTTTTCTCCCCAAATCTTTTAAATCTTTTCTCCCCAAGTCTTTTTTCCCTGATTCTTTTACCTCCTCCCAAACCTTTTCCCCCAAATCTTTTTTTCCTGATTCTTTTACCTCCCCCCAAATCTTTTTTTCTCTCCTTCCCTCCACTTCCCTATCCCAAATCTTCCCCATAATTTTTCTTCTCTCCTCCCTCCCCAGACCTTTCATCCCCAGAGATCTTTGATCCCCAAACACCCCCCCTCCATCTTCCTCCTTCCATCCCTCCCCTCTCTCCTCCCACTCCCATCTCCCCAACCCTTTTCTCCCCTCCCTCCGCCGTCCCCTCCCTCTCCCCTCTCCCACCGCAGTGTCCCCGCTGGTTGAGCTCCGCCGCTCCCGCCCCGTTCCGCCTCCCGCAGCCGTTCGCTCCGGCGGCGGCGGCGCGGGGAGCGGGTCCCGCTCGGCTGCGGCTGCACCGGGCACAGGGCACAGGGGCACAGGGGACAGCGGCAGCACCGGACGAGGAGGAGGAGGAGGAGGAGGAGGAGGAGGAGGAGGATGGGCCGGCGGCGAGCGGCGGCGGCGGTCGGGCGGCTGGTGCAGCCCGAAGCCAGCGGGATGGAGCCCGGTGCAGAATGAGGGGTGCCTGCCGCCCTCCCCCGCAGACATGTCTGTGCCTTTACTCAAGATTGGAGTCGTCCTCAGCACCATGGCCATGATCACCAACTGGATGTCGCAGACGCTGCCCTCCCTCGTGGGGCTCAACACCACCAAACTCACGGCGGCCACGGGCGGCACCTTGGACCGCAGCACGGGAGTAAGTGCGGGGGGATGCGGGGAGGGCTGCCCGGGGGATGCCAGCCTCCCGGGGCATCCCCGGGCATCCCCGGGGCATCCCAGCCTCCCGGGGGATGCCAACCTCCGGAGCATCCCTGCACCCCGGAGCATCCCAGCCTCCCGGGGGATGCCAGTCTCCCGGAGCATCCCCTCATCCCGGAGCATCCCCGCATCCCGGGGCATCCCCGCATCCCGGAGCATCCCCGCACCCCGGGGCATCCCAACCTCCCGGGTGATGCCAGCCTCCCGGAGCATCCCGAAACATCCCAGCCTCCGGGAGCATCCCAGCCTCCGGGGCATCCCAGCCTCCCGGGGGATGCCAACCTCCGGAGCCTCCCTGCGGCTGCTCCCCGCCGCCGCCCCGTCCCTCCCCGCCCGGCTGTCCCCCCGGGGCTGTCGCATCTCTCCTTGCCCAGGTGTCCCCCCTGCAGGACCTGCAGTCGGGACAGGCTCTCCGCCCCTCGCCGAGTGTCCCCGCGGCGCTGCAGGAGCGGGGATGGGGTGCTGAGGGCTCGGGGGGTGCTGGCAGGAGATGGGGGTGACGGTGCAGGGAGCGTCTCTCCCTCTCCGCATCCTCCCTGCAGCCAAAGGGATGCAAAGTTTCCCTCGTGGCCGCTGTAAAATCCGCCGGGAGAGCGGCTGCGAGTCCCGGGCGGCTCCTGCGCTGCCCTCGGGGGGATGGAGATGGAGATGGAGATGGAGATGGAGATGGAGATGGAGATGGAGATGGAGATGGAGATGGAGATGGAGATGGAGATGGAGATGGAGATGGAGATGCAGCCGGGAAATCTCCGTGCGGGGCTGGACATCCCCTGTCCCTGCTCTGCCGGAGGGCTGGGGCTGTGCCTGAGCTCCCCACTTTGGGAATGGCTGGGAAAATCATCCCAGTCCGTCTGTCTGTCCTCCCCGAGCAGGGAAAATCGGGCACCTTTCTCCTGCAGGCTGCACACTCGTGTTTCTGCCGGAACCCCGCTACTGCAGCTCTGCTGTTCCCGGAGAATTCGTGTAGTGCTTGTGCTGCTCAGTGAATGAAGCTGGGATTTTTTTTTTTTTTTTTTCTCCACGTTGTCAGGGTATATGAGATCCATTTATTATTTTTATTTTGTTTTTCCCCGCTAGTTTTAGCCAGGAAATCCAATTGTGCGTCTGCCTGGGCATGTCTGTCAGCGTTGGGCATTTGCGAGGCGATTTGTTCTGTAGCGAAGCTGTGAAAAGAACCTTTTCCCTCAGGCTGGGGACACGGTGACACCTTCCAAGTGCTCCGAGGCTGGGTTGGGATTAAATAATGGAGGGAAATGAAGAGCAGAGAGGGGATGCGCTGTGTTTGGGGTGGGCTCCGTTCCGCGGCGTGCCCCAAGGACTGCATCCCGTCCCTGCTGGAATTCTGCACAGGGCTGGGCTCGGCCGTTCCCTGCCTGGCACGGAGGGCAGCGACTGCTGGGGAGGTCCTCATGCCCGGGGAATGTGGCAGAGAGAGGGGGAACGGAACGCGGGGTGTCTGTGATTCGGGGTGTCCATGATTTGGGGTGTCCGTGACTCGGGGTGTCCGTGATTTGGGGTGTCCGTGATTCGGGGTGTCCGTGATTTGGGGTGTCCGTGATTTGGGGTGTCCGTGACTCAGAGTGTCCATCACTCGGGGGTGTCCGAGATTCGGGGTGTCTGTGATTTGGGGTGTCCATGATTTGGGGGTGTCCGTGATTCGGGGTGTCCGTGATTTGGGGTGTCCGAGAGTCGGGGTGTCCGTGACTCGGGGGTGTCCGTGATTTGGGGTGTCCATCACTCGGGATGTCCGAGATTTGGGGTATCCGTGATTCGGGGTGTCCGTGATTCGGGGTGTCCGTGATTTGGGGTGTCCGTGCCTCCCGGTGTCCATCACTGCCGGTGTTGGTCACTGCCAGTGTCCATCACTCCCGGTGAGCTCCCGGTGCTCGGACACATCCCTGTCCCGGTGCTCAGTCCCTGTCCCGGTGTTTGGTCCCTGTCCCGGTGCTCGGGCACACCGAGTGCTCGGTCACCACAGCAGGACAGGGGCTCAGCACCCGTAATTTTCTCTGTTTCCCTGTGTTGCCTTCGCGTTTTCCACTCTTCCTCTCCTTTTCAGACCCTTCTCCGGGTTCGTCCCCAATCCCTATTTTTGCATTCCAAGTGAATTTTGCCAGCTGGGCCCTCCAGCACAGCTCCGCTCCCACATCCATCCTGCTGCCTTCCCCTGCCAGGCCTCCCCTGGTTAATTAACCCATCTTTCCCTGTGTTAATTAGGTGTTGCCTACCAACCCAGAGGAAAGCTGGCAGGTCTACAGCTCTGCCCAGGACAGCGAGGGACGTTGTATATGCACAGTGGTGGCACCTCAGCAGACGATGTGCTCGCGTGATGCCAGGACAAAGCAGCTGAGACAACTCCTAGAAAAGGTAAAGCTTGGCCCCTGCTGGCAAAAAGGGTTTGGTTTTTTGGGGTGGAAACCTGAGCTGAGCTTTGGTTTCCAGGGAAAACCCCTTGGGATGGTTTTTCCCTGTGTGAGTAGTGGGGAATAATCAGCTGCAGGCAGGAGGAGAAATCTCTTAAGTGTTTTCTGAGAGGAAAGCCTGGCCTAAGGTCAAGGGAAAACTGCTGAGATCAAAGCACCAATATTGAACCGTATCTCTAAAAAAAATTTTTAAAATACATTTTTTTTTAAATCCCCTTTTTTCATTCCGTTGGCAGAAGCAGTTTCAGAGCAGACTCAGCAACAGGAGAGGAGAGAGAATTAAAAGCCCAAAGCCAAGCTTTCCTAGGCAAGGTGCTGTTAAAAAGGTCAAATAAAACCCTGCAAGCTGTCACCAGCAGGTAGCACAGAGATGACACTCAGTGGTTTTCTGCCTAACGTTGACATCCTCTTGATTGGTTTTTAATAGTCTGCTGTCCAAAAAGATCAAAAAAATCTCATTAGGGAAACATCCCCAACAACAAGGAATTTTCCAGATAATAGATTTCAGTGAGGAAATGCTGTTTCATGTGAAATTGTGCTCTTCTCTTGCAAATATGAGCTGGCTCCTGTGCTGGATATATAATTAAACCCCATCCCCTAATGCTATATTGGCCTGTGCCGTGCATGACAAAAGAATTTTCATCCTGCTGCTTTGGGGAAAGCTGCTGTATTAATTCCCTCTAACAATATTAAACCTCCACTTAACTGATTTCCCCATGTGCTGAGGACAATAAAGCCAGCCAGGAAACATTCAGCCCTAAAACAATTTTTTGGGTTGTCAGAGGCTGCTAAAAATAATCCCAAATCAGGCTTTTCTTTCTGGCAGCAATAACACCCTGGGTGCATTTGCTCCTGAGAGGCAGCAGGGCTTATGAGCAGCTCAGAGGTGTTCCTAAAACTCTGAAAAATCAGGATTTGACCCCATGCCCTCTGCTGATGGGCAGGAGTTGGGGTGGGAGACCTGGGATAACATCAGGAGGGTGGAAGTGCTCTGTGGGGTTTTTTTTTAATGCAGCTCTCTGGCTGCCAATGGAGAAAAAGTGAGGGAGGAGCAGGATTTCTGGGCATGTGTTGTGGGAAATGTTACCTGCCTGCTAATCTGGCTGCATCTCCCTCCCACGCTAACCTAGATGAAAAACCCCAAAATAAGGAATAGGCTCTTAGTGCCAGACATCTGATCTTGATGGGGGCTGAACTGATAATCCCTGGAGGTACAAACAACAGCAGAGCTTCCAGCTTCCCAGGAAGGATTTCAATCCCAAAAACTCCTTCTCTCAGCTGGCGTTCTAACCCCAGCTTTGTGATGGGGGGAAATTCTCCTGGTTCCTCCCTGGCAGCAGAGGAAGCAGCACAATGTGTCAGGGAGGTAATTGTGTTTGGGTTTTCCAAGGAGCAGATGTGGGATTCACCCATGGAAATGATGTTGCATGGCATCAGCTGCGTGTGTGTGCACACAAAGAAGCAATTCCAGCATCTTCAGGGGAATCTCCCTGCAGAAATTTTTGGGATTTCGAGGGTCAGAGCTGCCATCCATCTGTGCTCAGTTAATAGGGGTGAGGATCTGTGTAGGAACTGCAGTTCCTGTGGCTGCTGGGCATCCTGACAGGTTGGAGAGGGGAGGGGAGGGCAGCCAGGGCTGCACAGAGTGTTCAGCCCATGCTTTGCCACTCGAGGTGTCTGAGCTCATCCTTGGCTGGGGTACACCGAGTCCTTCCAGCCTCCCACGTGGCAGGTGCTGATTCCAGACCTTGGATTGCACCCAAGCCAAGCCATCACCTCAGTCCTGCTCACCATCATCAGATTGTGTTTGATCTCCAAATCTGATTGATTTATTTATTTGTTCTGGCCCTGTTATCGGGCACAACTTCCTTCTCTGATGGTGAAACCGTTTCTGGTTTCCTGCCAATCCTTCCTCTCAGCCAGAGCTGATTTCCAGATTTAAGAGTTCTTTTTGTTCCTCTGATGGTCCCTCCCA